ATACAAATGTAAAGTTGCTTAAAGCAATTAAACAGACAACTGAGAAAGATAATAAGTTGAAGAGCAGGGGAACTTTTGAAATTGGCAAAAGGAAAATCTTATAAATCTATAAAATTGATGATTGCTTTACATACCTAATCCTGAATTGTACCCCATGTCTTCAAAATTAAATTTCAAAAAAAATGAAATCTGTTTCTGTTCCTTTTAACCTCCTTTTCTAACCCTTTAAAACCATATTTGGCTTATTAGGTATGTTAACAATCATACAGGAAACATTGTTAAATATGAAATAATATTTAGTTTCCTTTGGGTTACATCTATATGTGTTATATCTATATGTGTCATTGGTATGTCTACCAAGACTGTATGATATTCCTATAATTCCAATGTCTTAGTACATGTTATTATTAATAATAATGATTACTGTATTAAATTGTTATGTGCCAAAGAATTACCAAATTTCCTTGTCAACTGTATCTTTGACAATAGCTGTCCTAAGACTTTTGTCATTCACAATTATTATTTTATTCTGATCCTTTTTAAAAGTGATTTATAATTACCTATAGAACTCTGAGAAGTGCTTGTCAATGCAAATTTCTAACAACTTTGGAGATTGTGCCATTGGACTAAGTAAAAAACAAACAAAACAAAAAATTCCAGACTCTTATTAGAGGCTTATGAGTTTATAAAGATTGCTGACTTAACATGAAACAGAATAGGAGTTAATCATATAGACTGAATTAACAGAAGACTAAAATAATTTTATTTTTACTTTATTAGAAACATTGCAAATTCTTTTTGTTTCTCAGAGTCAAGAAAAACCTTTTTCTTTTGAGCTATTTACAGCTTTTAAAAACTGAGTAAAGTAGCTCTTATGAGCAAAATTTGAAGTATATACCTTTCTGTCTACCTGATTTCTTCAGATTTTGGAAACTATTTGTGAGTATCAATATATAGTAAATAAAGTTATTTGCATAAGTTTAGTCTTTTCTTTTGTAACAGAAAATGATTGAAGTTACTGGTTATTTTACCAAGGCTTTACCTGGAATGACACTTCATAGCAGACTGCTTTGAGGAATTGAGATTGAGATCTATAAAGAGCTGAAAAAAGTCCCTTGAAAAGGTTGCCCTGGTACCTTTTCAGCTCCTCTCCAGGGCTTCTAACCTGTGGTTAGTAATGATGTTTGCTCACTAAAAGGCCCAGAAACCCCAAGTTATTTGGAAACTCAAAAAGAGAAATTTGCCCAATTTATATAGGCATTTGCAGGCTCAAGTCCTTGGCTGAGCTCAAGAGGCATTTAAAAGGTTCAATGTAAGATTCCTTATGTAAAGAGTTTCTAACAGAACCAATTTAAAAAAGAGCCTATATGGCAAATAATCATTCTTGCTGTACTTTATGCAAGTAAGCTATATGTAACCAATCTAAAGATTTATTTTGCAAATAAATTGCCCCCACTATGATGTCTTTGGTAGAAATAGAGGTCTAGAGAGAGAATATAATGTTTCATAAGAAGTGTAGATTATTATTAGATTTATCTTGCTCATTAATTTATTTTTTATTATTTTCTACAATTTGGACTGCAATCTGAATTATTTCCTGGCTACAAGTCTCTGACTAACATTTCCAAATTTTTCTTCACATTTTCTGACTTGGAATCACTAGAAATTAAACTATGCCTTTCTTAAAGACCTGCAAACTAGAGCTAAACAACTTATATATGAATAACCTTCATGCCAGCCTGCTGACGGAAGGACTGCACAATAAATTCACTTGAATGCCTGGTTCGAACTACAGTCCAGAAGAATCTGCCAGATTGCCAGTGCAATCCGAAGATATATGAGAGACTCCAGAAAAACTAGTCTATTAGATTGCTCCAGATATGTCTTTTATTAAAGATCTGTCTGACTACATCCTCTATAAAGACCCAGTCACCTGCATTGTCACCCTTGAAAATGAGACACAATTGTTTAGTGGCACTGGCATGTGAAATCCTTTGCTACTCAGCTTTTAACTCAATTTTTCTCTTTCACATTCACCATCTTAGCTTTTAATATGTGAAACTTCTAAGGAAGTTCTTCACAGAAGAATAAAGTGGTGCAGGGAAATTTACCCCAAAATATGGCATTTTGCCTCAAGGTCTCTCTGATCTCCCCTCTATCCCCACACACCATCTCTTCCAAGGGATTCTTCCACCTGCTATCAGAAAAGAAGAAGAAGAATGTGATCTGGCCTAACACTTTTACAAAATAATGCCTTCTCAAGTTCATTTAACTTCCAAAAATAACTAGCTATTTGCAAGGCATCCTGTTTCCCCCATTCATTCATTTTCCCACGTGTTGTCCCCCTACAGAGATCCTCTTCCTCCCACTCCTATAACCTGCTTTACCAAAATGCAAGTCCCATTCTTTGTGTAACTTCACAATAGTACTTACATTTCTTTCTTTTTTTTTTTTTTTTTGAGTTGGAGTCTCACTCAGTCACTGCCCAGACTGGAGTGCAGTGGCCGCTCCAGGCCACCGCAGCCTCGACCTGGTGGGCTCCGGCGATCCTTCCGCCTCAGCCTTCCTAGTAGCCGGAATTACAGGCGCGCACTACCATGCCCAGCTAATTTTTTTTTTATTTATTGTAGAGATGAGGTCTCGCCTGCCCAGGCAGGTCTCGAACCCGTGGGCTCAGGCAATCTACTCACCTCAGCCTCCCAAAGGCACGGGATTACAGGCTGAGCCACCGAGCCCGGCAGTACTTATATTTCTGAAGGTTTCCATGTATACATGGAACAAAATTTGTATGTCATTTCTCCTATTAATTAATCTGCCTCAAGCTAGTGATTTTTCAGCAAACCTTTAGGGGGCCAATGGCCCCCTAATATATATATTGCACACTCACATATACCATTTACTTCATGCCTCCTGTAGAGCTAAATGCTCTATAAGCATCAATCACACTTGCACACTTTTCGAGACACTATTTTTATTTTACAAATAAGAAAATCAAGGCTGAAAATGAGATCACTTGCCTGAGGTCACATAATGAGTCAACGACAGCGCTAAGTCTTAAACCAAGACGTATTCACTTATACTGAACCATGAGAGAAACTAGGAGGGTAAAAACCTCTAAGAGAAAGAAAAGTTAAATTTGGAGAAACTAGCAGTGCCTCCGTGATAACAGAGCTCTGGAACTTCCATGACAGAGATCTCCCCCAAAGCTGGCCTGAGTTCAGAACTAGCATCCAATTCTGGACTCAGAGGGGCCTAAACACATCACCATGATCCCCATTCTTTGCTTTACATAAGATTCTATTCCTCCTAACCACGTACTGCACTCATCTGTCCTTATTTTTCACAAACCAAAAAGCACAAACTGCAGATGTTAATACCTCACTGTAAGAATAATGGTTACAGGGTATTTCAAAGCAGCCAGATATTTTGTAAAATTATAAGAGAATATAAGAGTTAGTTAAAAGCAATAAATTTAATAGCTAATCATCCTTATTCATTCATTCAAGGTAATTCCCTCAAGATTTACACTACAAACAGTGCCAAACACAAAATAAACACTCAGTGAATAATTACTCATCAATTAACCTAGTAATTGTCAGAATCAGAGAAATGGACCAGATGACAAAGTTAATTTCACATAGAATGAATTTAGAATTATGTGAGAATGAGATACTTGTTTTGATTATTTCAAATCATAATGCTTAAGCAATGTCCTTTAAAAACCATCTGGAGACATATAATCACAAACATGAAGCCCTGCTGTTCTCAGAAATTATCCAAACATAAGACATCACAACATGTTTATTTTAAATATTTTTTCTTCAAAAATTGCACAATTAAAAATAATGTTTATAATTTCACAGATTCTGTTATTTAAATGTCTACAAAAGCATTTGTAACAACCCTCAGTTATCTTTGTTTAATAATCATGATGTTTATTCAACTGTACCTGATTCTATACAATCATGACCCAAGTTGAAGATTTGTTTGTTCACCCAGTTTGACGTTAATACTTCTAAGAGACTCTCCCATAAAAAAAAAGATTTGGTTTGCTGGTAAGAATAAGATAATTAAGAGAAAGGTCAATTATCTTGATTATGAAATTGCAAGTTATCTCCTACATTGGACACATACTTTGTAGAAATGTCGATGTACAGTGAATTTCTTCTAGGGCTTTGGCTGACGGAGCAGTGGGAGAAACACTTATTTTTATTATACAGATGGGATGAGGTCATCAGTCCCTCAAGTTATTTATTAACATGTCTTTTATAATGGTTAAAGATAAGTACCGTAATACGATAAACATCCAGTGTTTTTCAACTTCCTCAACATGCTGTTTAATAACCAGATTAAAGTTCTTACATATAACCTCACTTACGCAGACTGAATCTGAAAAAATACATACTGAGCAAAATCACCTGTTTTATTGAATCCTTCACATACACTAGTTTTAATTTAAGTACATACATATAGTCTCCTATGATTTAGACTTTTAAACTTTACAACCAACATTTTCAACAAGGCAGAACTTAGCAAAAATAAAAATCAGCCTTCCTAGGTTGTCAAATCATACTTTATATAGACATTATATATACAGTCTTCTGATTTTTCTAGATTTTGGAATATATGCATTATTCTTAACAGTTAAGCACCACAAATCCAAAAACCCAAAGCCCAAAATGCCTGAATGACCATGTCCTTTGAGCATGATGTCAGCGCTCAAAAAGTTTCGAATTTTGGAGCCTTTCAAATTATCAGATTTAAGATGCCCAACCTGTAATTTCAACAGAGATCTGTGAAAAAAAAATTTATGTAATACTGACTAAATGTCCAATCTGCGATTTGTTGACTACCCCCAAAATTAGAAGGCTAAATAAATGATTTCGTTTATTATGGTTCAGTTTTGTATACCACATTTTTTTTTACTGCTCCTTTCATCATTGCTTAACAAACAGATTCCAAAAAAATCAAAATTATTACTACTAGATTAAATATCTTACCTGCTACCCTCATGTTTGGTCTTTCAGTCTATGGTGCTTTTCATAAAATATGCTCCTAAAAAAATCAAAAGAAAAAGCAAATATCATGAGGTCTAGAATGCACATTCCCTAGATTGAGTTTGGAGTATATACACTAAAGTAATTAAATATATACTATTGACATTTCTAAGTTTTATACTGACACTGACATTTATTTTTAAAAAATTCTTTCTTACATTCTGTGTCTTCAGCTCCCTAAATGAATGGACAAAGATTAAAACCTGTCATCAAGATTGTAATTAGAAGATAATGTCTTATCATTCTCAATGGTTTTGCATCTACAAGAAACTTTTGATATTGAGCTGCAAACCTTCAGTTTGCAGATGGAGTTCAAAGAAGTTAAGCTGCTTATCTAGTCATGGCACAAATTATTTGTAGAAATGGGGCTAGAATTTAGGTCAGCTGGCTCACTCCAGTACATGATACCCTTCATTTTTGAAATGGCACAATTCAAGTGTCACTATGATAACCATTTACAACAAAGGCTTCTTATTTTAATATCAGGGACCTCTTCCTCTTCATGTTTCTCAATTTAAATTTGTAAAATATCCAGAAACAGTGAATCACAATTTTGAATATCCCAACAATTATCACTGTTGACAGAGTAATTCCAATATAGTAAATGGAGAAACTGTTCTTTGGTATTATTTTAATATCAACAAGAAATAGATGTTAGAAAAAAAATCTGTAGGTATGCTTCCCTCTTAAGAAATAACTCAGCCAGGCTCGGTGGCTCAGCCCATAATCCCAGCACTTTGGGAGACCGAGGCAAGTGGATTGCCTGAGCCCGTGGGTTCAAGACCCACCTGGGCAACTTGGAGAGATCTCATATCTACAATAAATCAAAAATTAGCCAGGCGTGGTAGCGCATGCCTGTAGTTCTGGTTACTTGGAAGGCTGAGGCAGAAGGATCACTGGAGCCCAGCAGGTCGAGGCTACAGTGGCCCGAGAGTGAGACCCCAACTCAAAAAGAAAAAAAGAATTCAAGATAGGTGAAAATTTACAAGCAAAATGAGAAAGTAAATGAGTCTGATAGAAACGTCATGCCCAAATTCAGCTGGAGGGTTTCCAAAGTCTACTCAACCTATTGTAAAGGAATGGAATTCAAAAGGAAATTTTGATGAATAAATCACATTAACCAGCAATATTTCTCTATTTTAGACTGATTCTGATACTTTTGTTTCAATGTGGTTGTCTAATCCAGCAATTTACAGAATATCTGGAATAAAAATAATGGCACAACCCTGATGGACACTGAAAACAAGTGAGGCATGTAGTTTTCTTTTGAGTCAGAGTCTTACTCTGTGGCCCAGACTGGAGTTTGCAGTAGCAAACTCATGGCCACTGTAGCCTCAACCTGCTGGGCTCAGGCGATCATTCCACCTCAGTCTTCCAAGTAGCTGGAATCACAGGCGTGCACCACCACACCTGGCTAATTTTTTTGTAGAGACAAGGTCTGACGAAGGCTGGTACCAATCCCTGAGCACAGGCAAACCTCTCGCCTCAGCCTCCCAAAGTGCTGGGATTAAAGGCGTGCCCCACTGCGCCTGGCCAGCAGTTTTCTTATTCACTGGGAGAGGCAAGAGGGATGGTGGGGCAGTTGGACAGTACCCAAAGGGCCAGTGCTCTTATGCTAGCCCCCTTTCTCCTGCACAATCTACCCTGAAGAAAATAACAACACTTAAACTGAGTCATGAGTTACTGATTTCTTTTCCTTTGTTAATTATCTGAACATCTTCCACATAATAGGAAAAGTCAATGTTATATGTCTATTTAAACAAACTACTTAGCCACAGGCTAGGAAAATACTAAAAGGAAACAAGAGAACCATCATAGAAAAGCAGAAGAAAATCCTTGGCATTTCAAATGAAAACCCCAACTGGTTATAAATCCTCTTTTGGCTTCCAGCAAAATTAAACTCTGCTTTTCACAACACACATATCCCTTTCCTCACAGATAATATTCAAAATAACTTCACTCTTATGTGAGTGTGGTCTAAAAAACCTCTTCGAAAGCCTGATAGGCAGTTGGGCACCAGACACTTGCTGCTCCTTCCCTGTTTCCATGACCTGCTCAGGACAATCCTGTATAATTACAGTCACTGCCTCATACACCTGCCACTTGTTTGTCCCTTTCACCAAGCCTGTTTCTAAACTCATCACTACTAAGATCACAATATACACAGCTACAATTATCTAGCTGAATACAACTGTCTTCCATTAAAGTTTCTCAAAGAATCAATATTTAGTAAAATCTCTAAATTAAAATCTCATCAGATTAAGTCACAGTCATAACATATCATTAATTAATTTGCTTAAGAAGAAAATTAATGATGCAAGAGTGCAAATCACTATAAAGAGGGAGTACTGAATATATCTGAGAGCAGGTCAAGGAGCACCATTTATGATGATGAGAATGTGCTAATTCTAAATCATCCCCGACTTGACTTCGTAGGAGAGCAATTAATGACAGAATATAGGCAGGGTGCAGTGGCTCACAGTTGCAATCCCAGCACACTGAGAGGCTAAAGTGGGAGAAACACTTGAGCCCACAAAATCGAGGCAAGTATAGGCAACATAGTTAGACCTCATCTTTACAAAAAAGAAAAATCAGCCGAGCATGGTTGCACATGCCTGCAGTCCCAACTACTTGGGAGGTTGAGGTGGGAGGATCACCTGAACTCAGGAGGCCGAAGCTGCAGTGAACAGTGATGGTGCCACTGCACTCCAGTCTGGGTGACAGAGTGAGATGTGGACTTAAAAAAAAAAAAGTACAATAATCTTAAAGGAGAAAAAAGCAAAACCTTAATGAAAAACTAAAGTTGAACCACCAACAAACAAACGGGGATAGGACAGGACCAGAACACAATGGTAAAAGGAGAAAAGGCCTCTGCTAGAAAGTCAGAGCTCTAAATCCTGAGGCAACAGGTGAAACATAGTTATGCATATGTACATAAAATATATATTATATAAATAATATATAATGAATATATTCATTAAAAGGTATAAATATAGAAGTTGGAGCCATTTACCAAGAGATTATCAGTAGTAGAAGGATATATATGAATACACATACATTAATCGAAAGGTAGAAATATAGAAATTAGAGCCACTTACCAGAAACAAATTATCGGTGGTAAAGGATATTTTTAGGATAGATAAAAAACCCAAAAAACTCAGACAGTACATTTATAAAATACATTTCCTCCAAAAAATAAAATGTAGGCCAAAACAAGTTTCAGTGTTTTAGATATACATATAAATGCTAATATGCAAGGTACATAATCATCTGAGCCTCAAGGGCAAGGAAGGCCACCCTGATGCTCCTGGGCAGCAAAACACTGACCTAGATCAACACTAAGTGTCTAGATTGACAAAGAGAATCTAAGCTAGGATCTCAGGTGGACATACTGAATTTTTTTGAATGTTTTATAATTTAAACATTTTCTTTAGCCTGACCAACTCTGGTCTAATCAGGCTACAGTGTAAATAAGGAGGCACTGTTCCAGAATCAAATGACTTGAGGAACGACAGAGTGAAAACGCAAGTCAAGCCAAACTTCCATACTTTCCTTAGGAAGTGGACTAACTCAGGTGAATGACAACACCATTCTTGTATAGATAACAAAATAAGTTATAAAAACAATTGTTTACCAGAGGGGATGTCTTGCCAGTTAACATAAACTAGGTGATAATGCATAAACACATGAGTGCAGTTCACACACATTCTTCTTTTTTGAGTTGGAGTCTCACTCTGTCGCCCAGACTGGAGTGCAGTGGCCGCTCCCGGCCACCGCAGCCTCAACCTGCTGGGCTCTGGCGATCCCTCCACCTCAGCCTTCCAAGTAGCCGGAATTACAGGCGCGCGCTACCACGTCTGGCTAATTTTTTGATTTATTATAGAGATGAGGTCTCGCCTGCCCAGGCAGGTCTCGAACCCGTGGGCTCAGGCAATCAACTCACCTCAGCCTCCCAAAGGCACGGGATTACAGGCTGAGCTACTGAGCCCGGCACACATTCTTATTTTATGTAATCTTCGCACCAGTTGTCTAGTTGTAGTGGGTATTATAACGGCATTATAGATGAGGCCAGGGGATTTGTCTAAGGTCACAAGAAGGGTAAGTAAAAAGCTCACACTACAAACAAATCCACTTCCTTTTCACCCCAGCTGTTCACTGACACACTCTAATTTTAAGAGGCTTGTTGACAAAATGTCACATCAATCAATTTGGCTTTTGCGAATTGCCCTGGGAATTGCTGCAAACCAGCCACTTTAGAGATGTAGTCAAAATGACTAATCTTGTATGTTAGAATCCTCCCCCTCCAAGAGGGAAATGATTCAAGAGAATGAAGTGTACACATACACCCTTTGATATGGGTATTTAATATTAACCAGCAACAAAGCAGAAAAAAAGTTATACTCCACAAATATAGAAAAACTATCACTCAATTCAATCCAACTTCAATTCAGTGTTGGGCAAATGACAATTTTAATTGAACTAACTAGGAAAGTTCTGGGTTTTTTGTTGTTGTTGTTTTTGAGACAGTCTTGTTATGTTGCTCAGGCTGGTCTTGAATTCCTGGCCTCCTAAAGTGCTGGGATTACAGGAATGAGCCACCACACCTGGCCTCCAGATGATTTTAATATTCATGAAAACTGGGGCCTTTCAAGAGGACTAGAAAAAAGGTCAAAGTGCAAACATATAGCTGTAAAGTACATTTATGTCCTGTGATGGTTAATTTTAAGTGTCAACTTGCCGGGCCACATTGTCCTACTATCTGTAAGGGTGCTTCTGGATGGGGTATACGTTTCAACCCACAGACTAGATAAAGATTTGCCCTCTCAAATGTAGCTGGGCCTTATCCAGTCCATTGAAGACCTGGATAGGACAGGCTGAGTAAGGGAAAATGCCCTCACTTTGCCTGTCTTGAAGCTGGGACAATGCCTTCAGACCTGGACTGCAACTGTACCACCCTCACTGGGGCCACTGGGCTGCCAACTGCATTCCTGAACTTCTTA